AGCCAAACGTGCCTCCCGTCCTAGAAAGAAAGCCCTTGGTGGGTTTGTTTTTGCCATGGACAATGGCCTGTATTTGATTCAGCTTCATTTAATAAGACCTTGTTCAGACCAGAGATGGATTACAAACTTCCACATCAATCTTCAGGGCCTGATCTTATTACAAACCACCACAAATATAACCATAAAAGCCCTATTGATTGATGCAGAGCTTGGTAATCCATCTGTCCCCATCCATTATTCTGGAGATAATTTTTCATTATCTGGATGGCAGCTGATTCCTCACGCATTAGTATACAGTGGCAATTACCAGAAGCAGAAAAAGCCCCCACATTAGCAGGAACAATAACACCTGTCAGGAAGGGGAAGCAAGAATTCCTACACAGCATGCTTCTGAGCTCTGGGACCAGGTCTGAATTGCAAGGAGTTTGAAGATGGGATTCAGTGTTGACCTTGGAAGTGGAGAGGGAAAAGTTTGCTTGTGTGTTCCTTCCTTGAGGGCATAGAGTGTGTGCTCCCTTTAGATGACATCATTGTCAATCCAGTCATAGCCCCTGGACAGCTGACATGGAAACCTTTCCAGGATTGCTCAGGGGCAGCAGGGTTTATGGGACAGGTGTTCCTGCCCGAGGTAGCTAATAGCCACCAGAAACTTGACCAGAGGGAATGTTATTTAAGGTGAGAGTATTGAGCGAGACATGAGTGAAGAAGGAGAGACATGAGTGAAGACGGAGAAAAGTCGAAGCCTCCTGAGAATGGTGCCATTTGCATAGTGTGGGAAAAGTCCTTTCCACAGACCAATAAGAGATGGTCCCTCTCCACACAATGATTCCATAATCTGAACTTTCTTGTGTTTGGCAAGATGCTATTTCTTTTTTACATGGAGAATATTGAGATAGACGTGGCTGAAATATTTCTAAGAGCCATTGAAGGAATCAATTGGTAAATTTCTGAGTTTTTTTTCCCAAAATCAAAAATCCTGTGTAATTGACTTCTCAAGGGAAACCCTCATGCAAAGTGATTTATCATCAAGTGGCTTCGTATGGACAAACCCAGCAGGGTGCAGCCACTGCTGCTGGGTGTTAAGAGCCAGCCATAAACTAGAGGCTGTGGGTCTCTCTGAAACCAGCTGAACAGTGACCAGTGAAGAGACCGGCACACAGCAAAGCTTTGATGGTGGAGGGGGATTGTTCTAGTCCTTCAAACTAAAAAATTGCAGTTTGATTCCAAGCATTAACCAATCATCCAAAATAGGAATATGCTTGTATTTAATCTATAAGCAGAGCCACCTTGAGCTACTCACTTAAATCATGTATCTGTAAACTGTGGTCCATGGGCCAAACATGGCCACTGCCTGTTTTTGTAAATCAGGTTTTATTGGAAAACAGCACCATTTGCTTATTTGCCCATTGTCTGTGGCTGCTTTTGTTTTTGCTACAATGGCAGAGTTGAGTAGTTGTGACTGAGGCCATACTGCCTGTAAAGCCTGAAATATTTACTGTCTGGTCCTTTAAGAAAAGGTTTGTCTACCTGGGATCCACATGAAGATTTCCACATGGAGGAAACTACTCCTAGCTCTTGGGGAGACTAAATAATGGGGCACATGCTATAAACACCACATGCATGACTTCTCCTGTGTTATTTTGCTTTCTTCTAAGTGAGCAGCCTTCCAAAGAGAGGAAATAATAAAGAGCCCTTCTGAATTTTCCATATTTCAGCCTGCTTCCTAGAAATATTATTGGGACCACATGTCAGAAGTCCCAGTCTTTGTCCAACCATCATGAGGGTCTGTAGTTTATTCTCATAGTTGTAACTTCCTAAGCAGGAGCCCGGGAACCCATTAAAACCCACGCTCCAGGTTTTGAAGCACACGGCTGTTTACTTTGCAAGGAAAGTCTGTGCAGGGGCAGTAAACTGTTGATCTTGAACTTATTTAACAACAGAATGTGGCCACAGGTGTGTGGGATTTTGATTTAGATGTTTGGTTTTCTTGGGGACACTACAGCAGAGAATTACCTTTGTCCAGGCTCTGCTTGCTGACCAGGGAAAGTCATTTTTCTTCTTTAGCATCAGGCACCCAGTTTGTCAGACAGGTACAAAAAAATGCAGGGTGGAGATGGGTTAAATCGATACCAGGTGTGAAGGCTTAACTAGGTGCATCTAGGGGTCCTGTAGAAAGCATAGCTGTTGTATTGCGGGTGTGTGTCTGCCCAGACCCTCTTAGCTGGTGATTAGCCCAAAATGCACCCTTCATGTTTATGTGGGAAATCTATGAAGAAAATTTACACAAAAGGCAGGAGAAGGGCCTCCAGGGTGAGGCCAATATCAGAAGTAGATCATTATCCTTCTTTCTGTTAACTTGGTTTCTGATTTTTTACCTCTTAGTTACAAGTTTAATGATACATCATGAAGCTAAGATCACATTATCATCAGCATCACCTTCACCATCATCACCATCACCATTATCATATCACTATCATTGTCAGCAGCATCACCATCATTATCATTACCATCATCACATCACTATCACTATCACTGTCATTATTACCATCATCATCATTACCATCACTATCATCATTATCACCATCACCATTATTACCATCATCACATCACCACCATCATCATTACCATCACTATAATTATCACTATCACCACCATCTTCATTGCCATCACTGTTATCATCATCACCATCATTATCATCACCATCATCACCATACCCATCATTATTACCATCATCACCATCACCACCACCATCACCATTATCACCATCACTATCATTATCATTACCATCATCACCACAGCACCATCACCATCACTATTATCATCACCATCATTATCACCATCATCATCACCATCACCATGATTATCATTACCATCATCACCACCATCACCATCGCCAGCAGCAGCAGCAGCAGCAACCTCCTTCTCATCACAAGAAGCACGGACACAGGATGAGCACATATGCTTCGTGACAGCATGGCTTTCTCTTGACTGGGCCAGAGGGAGTGTGTGGGTAGAGAGCAAGAGGAGACTGCACAGGCAACCTACCCTCCGCAGCTGTCCATCTTTTTCAATCCTTCCTCTGCACACGAGGTCTGAGTTGGGTCTCATGAAACTTGGCACATAGGGATTACCAGAGCTGGTAGACACTCCACTGTTGGTGGGATTAGGGGTGGTCCCTGTGGCATAACTTAGCTTTCAACTCATTAGCAAACCAACTTGACAGTCCCAGAGAAAGGACTTGCCTGGAGGTTTAAATCAGGTGCCACAGCTGGGGCACAGGTTTATGGGAGGTCATTGGCCAGAACTGCAGTGACTGCAGCACCTTTATTCAGGGGGCATCAGAGCAGCTGTTGCCTATGGGTGAGCATTACTAGTGCAGCAAGCACACAATAGGTGCAAAACAAACAGTTCCTGAATCAATGGATAGAAGAGGGCTTGGGGGAGACCCGCCACACTCATGTGTCTGCTCCACTGTTTGCCAGGTGTTGTTATTCTGTGGGTCCTGGAGGGGAATCCCTCATGAAAAACAACAATTACCTCCAGAGAGGGGGAAACAGGAAGACAAAGCTTGTTTTCTGGCTGCGCCAGCGTTTAATCATTTATGAATAATTTCCCCCATGAGGATCATATCCAGCAGAGAGGTAACATCTGTTTAAGAGACTGTCCTTGGGAGGCCGCCAGAAAAATCTTGACACTGAAATCCACCATGCTGAAACACGCACATGCAGTGTTCTCACCCCAGCAGCCCAAGAGGTTGGTCAGGTGTGAGGGGCAGGTCTCTGCAAAGCAGACACCAAGACGGAACCCCAGGTGGAGACAGGACCATTGCTTGGATCTCAGGCGGAAGGACACGGGAAGATGAGTTGGAGGAGGTGCTGCCACCTGGGGGCTTGGCGGACTCCCTCACTGCCTTGATCTTCCAGTTTCTCAGGTGCTGAAGTGGACCTTTGGGGTAGCCCTGGCTGGCTAGTAATGTCCCCAGCATCCTATATGTCCCAGGAAGTATGTGACAGATGTGCAGTCAGAAAAGAAGGTGGTCTGGGGTAGGGACCAGAGGCAGGAGCTGTTGCAGACCTGCCTTCCTGTCTCCCCTGTCCTGGGTCTGTGGTTAGTGGCAAATGTTGCAGAAGGTTTTGGGACAGAGGTGGGGGACGAGAGAATCCCTGCTTTCTGCCATCGTGCCTGTGGGTGTCAGTAAACAGCTCTTGGCCAGAGCTCTACCTGCCCCACTTCTGAAGTGGCTGGTCCCTGTCCTGCCGATTCCAGTGCCTCCCACCTCCCCATTCAGGGATTGGGGCCAGGGCAACAAGGCTAGACCATAGATTCTCCTTTGGGGCTGTGGGAAGCATCCACCCTTGGCCTGATACTTTCATTCCTGGAACCTCATGAAGTAGTGAACTTCTTAGCGAGGACTCTGGAAAGAGGAAGATGCCACCCAGTGACCCATGTCTGTGAAGGTGTCACCCCATGTGCTCTTCTTTTTACCTCCCCAATATGTGCTGGCCCATCCTGGCTCCCCCTGGGTCAGGCAAACCCCGCTCCCACTCATAGGCCAGCAGCCCTGGGGCTCACAGTTCCAGAATAGAAGAGCAGAACTGGCCCAGGGCGTGAGGGGAGAAAGGGGTCACGGGGAATATCTCACCCAGAACTGACCTGCCGCCAGGTAGACGAGGTAGGTGAAGGGTTTGGCAGGTGCAGGAAAGAACACAGCTGCCCATGATCCAAGTCACGGCTTGGAGACTGAGAGGGTGGTGGAAGGAGAGAGCCCAGAGCTGGAGCTCCCCCTTCCTGGACCCCAGGTGAGAGCAGCCTCATGCCCAGGGCCTGCAGTCCAGGAGGAGAGAACTGAGCACCTGTCATGCTGCCCCGAGTTCCCCGCTGTGGATGGGACCTGGCATCCCCAGCTGGGTTGGGGGGATGTGCCTTCACCTTTCCCGGCCCTCCCTCGCCTCCTGAACCTGGTTTCACGGGTGCCCTCTTCCCTCTTTCCTTCTTTCCAGGTCTGGCTGTCCATCAGATCATCACCATCACCGTCTCCCTCATCATGGTCATAGCTGCTCTCATCACAACTCTTGTCTTAAAAAATTGGTAAGGCTCCTTGGGCCCTTCTGGCCCAGAAATGGGGGACTGCAGGGGTCCCCGGGTGGTGAACACAGAAAGGCCCCCGCTTTTCAAAGCCAACCTGTTCTACTGGCTTCTGCCCGGGCAGTTTAGCTGCCACAGGCTGCTCGCCGTCCAGCGCTGCCCTTTGGCCCGGCCCCTATCCTGGTTTCCCTGCAGAAGGCCAGCGAGCCCAGCCTTCATGACAAAGCTTCTCAGGGTGTGTGTGGTCCCGGGTTCCAGATTCTTTTTCTCGATGCCAGTGTCCGTTGGGATGTTGTCCACCCAGCACACAGTCCCTATTTCTTGTCTCCTCTGCCCCTTCCCTGGAAAGGTAGGGATGGGGCCCTTCTACCAGCACCCAGCGGGATCCCACATCCCTCGCTCAGGCTTGGCGGCCGGTTGCTGAACCAGCCCTGTTTGTATTCTTCGTTCCTCTCAAAGCCACTCTGTGTGCTGAACTAGGTTACCGCTTTGCTCCAGGCAGCCTGCCTTTGCCTATTTCCTCCTGGAAATTGGCCTACTTTGAGGCTGGCCTTGCTGGGTGTACACACCTGATAAGCCCCTGAGAAATCAGGGGACTGCTGGGAGACCCTGCTGCTCAAAAGCGCCTTGGGGACCTCACCTGCCTGCAGCCACTCCTCCAGCAACTGTGTCTCCTTTCGGCATCCAGGCTTAAAACTCCCTCATAGAAGAACAGACCCAAATGGCCCCCTTGCTGCCTGCGTACAGCCATATGAATCAGACAGGGCTGATGGTGGAAACTGCATCAGAGCCTCAGAATCACAGGGGAACACAAGAAAGTGAGAGAGAAAAAGCCAGGCTCTGGGATCAGAGGAGGTGGGACCCCTTGGCAGGCCACGGGAGGGTGGGAGGTATCACAGCCCACAACAGACCTCCCACTCGGCTAGCGAGGGCTCAAAGCCACCTCCTGATAGGTAGCAAACTGGGACCCCAGGCATTTTCTGGAGACAGGCGATGAGAGAACAACACGGAGCTCACAGCGGGGCTTCTTAGGCAGGGGCTGGCCAGAGGAGGGGCTTTGGACCCCTGGACTGTGTGGGCGTATGGAAGGACAAATCCCACTGGCCATCTCAGTGAAGGGCTTCATCTCCCCAGAGACAGGGGACTTTGTAGCCTATTCTGTGACAGGTTGATGACAAGCCTTCATCTTGCTTTTCCCACACTCGAGCTTATAGCAGACCTTCAAAGAGCCCTTTGGGAGAACAGTCCGGGAGGCTGGATGAGCAAGTTCGGTGAACCTGACCTCCCTCTGAGGAAGACTTTTCTGGGGGGCTGCCCCTGGGTTTGGCATTCACCTTATGACCTTGGTTTATGGGGTAGGGGGCTTCTACTCCTTGAATCGGGATTCCTTTCATTGGGAAAACCAACGCAGGAAATAACCAAGACTTAGGAGACAGGCCCATCCCCCCTGCCCCTTGCCTTCGCGTAGCCCCTCCCTGTGCACAGGCCCTGAGCATGAAGGGGAAGGGGTGGGCAGGGGAAATGGCCCCCAATGTGGGCTCCCCATCCAGCAGGGGAGGGGCCTCCCAGCCAGCCCCCTTGTCCATCCTGTGCTCTCATCATAGAAGCAGCATCCAGCGGCCCCGATTCTTGCTTTCTCAAATCCCTGGAGAGTCAGGGGTGGAAGTCCCATGGTCACTCTAAGTGGCCTCTGGAAGCCCCTGTGGTTCACAGGAACTAGACCATAACAAGCAGGGCGTGCAGGACACTTCCCTCCGCAGACTTGATCAGGGATGAAGGACAAGCCAGCTCGTCATTTCCAGCTTGTGTACGTGCCCCTGGGTGGGGTTGAGGACAGGGGCCTTCTCATGCACCAGCTTTCCCCAAAGACGGGTCCACTGTCCATTCTGAGATGAAGGAACGGACCACCCCAACCTGTGCCCAAAGGTTCCCACACGCTCTAGGCCCCTCTGGCAGGAAGGACCCACCACGGCTTTAATCCCGTTGAGGCGTTCATGGGGACACTGAGTCAGCACCATGGTCTGGCTGATGCTCTTTAGTTAAGCAGGTCCCTAGCTCTGCGATCACATGGCTCACCACTTACCCCTCATCCTCCCTGCTGTAATAGCCATATTTAAAATTCAAATTTCATTTTTTTTTTAAAAAAGAGTTGATTGCTTGATTGTGGTTGATCTTTCTGAAGAGGCTGGGAATTACCGTTTAATATGAAATGATGCGTAGCACATGCCTGCAAGCAAAAGACCCACAATGGAAGTCTGCAGTTGTGCTTGTGGGTTTCTGGCCTCTGCCCGTCCCCCCACCCCAACCTCTTTCTCTTCCAGCTGTGCCCAAAGCGGGAACACTCGTCGGAACAGCCACCAGCGGAAGACCAACCAGCAGGAAGAGAGCTGCCAGAACCTGACGGACTTCACCTCGGCCCGGGTGCCCAGCAGCCTGGACATATTCACGGCCTATAACGAGACCCTGCAGTGTTCACACGAGTGCGTCAGGGCGTCTGTGCCCGTGTACACCGACGAGACGCTGCACTCGACGACGGGGGAGTACAAATCCACCTTTAATGGAAACCGGTAAGCTTGGGCTCTGCTAGACCCTGCGGCCGTGAAGCTCTTGGTGGTCCCGACCCCCCGGGGCCACGGTGGCTGAGCTTAGAGCTGTTGGTCGGTTTAGGTCTTCCCTGAGGTGGTTTTGAGGGCCCGAGCCAAGGCGGACTGCTAATTTGGCAAAACGAGAGAGGCAGGGTTGACAGCAAACAGGCGTTCAGCTGCTCCCAGAGAACACAGTGGCCGGAATTTCCTTCCAGACCCCTGGCCATGGGCAGTGGCGGGAAATGCGTAGTCTCCCAGCCCTCGCTCTGAGCTGTCATCCTTCATGCCCCAGAGCTCAAAGGCCAGTCCCGTGGTGGTGATCGGCCTCCTAAATATCAACAGATGACAACAGCCTCCTACCAGAGTCAGTGTCTCTGAGCCCTGTCAATAAAACGTCAGCGGCAAATATTAGCAAAACTATCAGATACCGACCAGACTCCCAGACCGGACGTGTGTTACTAAATGCTTCTCCTTTTTTATTATTCATGTGTAATCCCTCAAAGAAAATATACCCCACAACCACCCGTGAGAATGTTTAAGAAACCCTTGAGTCAGCTTTCAAAGGTTTGTCCAGAATTAAATTAAAATATCAATAAGCTTTCCTTTAAGTGAGCATACATTTATGCATCGTTTTGTAAATTAAAATAAAACAATCTCCAACAACTTGAAGAAAGGAGGAAGCTGGGAGGCTGCCTCAAAGGGTCCACCATGAGCAACAGAATTAGCACCTAGGGTAACACTGCCCCAGGCCCCCGGAAAGGGCTCCCCTGGAGCCCAGGGCGAGGTGACTGGACTCGAGTTGTTTTAGAAGGGGCTGGCCGCATGCTCCCTTTCGTTCTATTTGCTGATTTGTTCAGGGGCCTTTGGAGAGCGAGGGCTGCTGGGGCTGTCACATCCATGGTTAATGTGTCTTTGTCCTGTTGGCTAGAATGAGCAGATGTTCCTGAAATACCTTCTGGCCACGCCTCTTCTTGCATGTCCACGTTGCATTCTGCCATCTGTGATATTCTCTGTCTTAGATGTTCCCTTTCCTTGCAGGGGAGGACGGTGGCACTCAGAACCTCAGAACTGTTGTTCTAAACCTCAGTGGTTTTACACTCAGACATTTGGGGAGCTCATGGGTGCCATTCCAGCCTTCCAGAAGGCTGAGTTCACAAATAACTGGCTAACAGATTTCCAAACCATTTCACTGAATATGTGGATGTTGGCTTGGATATGAATCTGGGCCAGCAACTGCTTGGGCTGTGTGGGTAGAGGGCAGAGGGCCGTGGGCTGGCCTCTGGTGCTTCACTTTTCCCACCTTCTGTGCTTGTGTTGTGCAGGGAGGTGGGGTGGGGGGATGTCCAAGAGCGGAGTTGGCATAGCTGGTGCTCTCAGGCCCTGGCACGGAAGCATCGGATGGAACGAGTTCTTGCCTTTTGGCCCAAGGTCATGCTCTGTTGAGTTTCACGGGCCTTGGGAAATAATAGCTTAGTCTCAAAGGTGACAAAATATGAGGGAGACATTTTGGGAGCCAGGTTCCATCCTTTCTGTCATGTGCAATAAAGTGGGTCAAATCTGCCATCAGAGGCAGAGACTCCAGGCTCTGGGCTAATCCTGCAAATTCAAAAACGAAAATCTGGAGACGGCACAGCCTGCACAGCAAAGTGCTCGTGTGCCCAGATCCCTCGGTCTGTGTCCTCCAAAGCCTCCCAGGGTAGAGAGCATTCGTGTGTGAGGACTTCTCCCAGCCACAGGGAATGGCGGGGGTCCCTTCCTGGCAAGGCCAGGAGTCCACATTAGTGCTTCCTTTCTCAAGAAGCCAGTCAGTCTCCACCGCAGGCCTGCCCCGGCTTGCCTGTCATGTGTCAAGTACCAAAGCCCATTTTTCTGTTCACCGCAGACCCTCCTCTTCTGATCGGCATCTTATTCCTGTGGCCTTCGTGTCTGAGAAATGGTTTGAAATCTCCTGCTGACTGGCCGAAGTCTTTTTTACCTCCTGGGGGCAGGGCAGACGCCATGTGTCTATTTCATGGTAGGTACCTCTCTTTGGACATTCCTGTTTTCATTCCCTTTCCTCCCCTCCCCACTGCCCTCCCCTGTACTCTTTGGGATAATTGGGAACCATTTTAGACACGGTGGGTGGATTTCCAATGGCATCACTTCTCTGAACATGAGCCGGGGACCTGGCCTTTTGATCTTGATGTTGGATTTGGTAGAAGTGCCTTCCCCATCCCGGGGGAGGAGAGTAACAGACGCTCACACACCCTGATTCCACGTCCTCACTATTCTTACCAGTGCCACTCCTTCCCTCAGGAAGGCCACGACGCGCGTGGCCTACATGGCAGGGAAAGTCATTCCCCGAAACAAGCGACAATTATAGCTCTCTTTTCCCGCAACAGGAAGAGATTAGGGCAGCGGCTAGGGAGGCAGGAATCGCGCCCCCGTCACATGTCTTTACATCGGGGGAGGGCGCAAGGCAGAATTAAAATACAATTTTGAAATATAAAAATAAAAGATAAGAAAGAAAATGATAAAGAAAGAAAGGGAAGAGTTGAGACATCTACTAATTTGAAGCCAGGAACCGGCACCAAAACAGGATGAATTTTCCATGCTCTGCTGGATGGGAACATTTGGTTTGCTTTCAGTGATATTAACTTTAATGCTAACGTTAAATTGCCTCCTTCTGTGCTGAGTCTTCGGAGCACTCAGGCTGCTGAGGGGAGAGAGCATTTCGCTCTCATGGCCCCACATCCCATGCATTCTATAAGCACGGCCCATGGGTGCGACCTGAGGTTTTCGTGTGGTTTTCATGGTTCTTTTCGATGCTAGGCTTTCTCTGCATCCTCATCTTGCTTCCTTCCAAAGGTGACCTCTGATCCCTTCCATGATCCCATCCTGTTTCTAGGATGAAATACCAATATTTGAAAATAGCTTTTTCTTACTTTTTGCCCACCTTCTGATATGGAGGACTGAATGGACAACGTCCTCAGGGGCCCGGGGACAGGGAAGGTCTGGAGGACTCAGCCGGCCGCACCTAGCTGTGGCCGGGGAACCAGCTGTAGTCAGAGAAGGGAGTGACTCGGTCAGTTCCTCATCCTGGCACTAATAGACCACGTGTTTGCTCCAAATCAAATATCCGGCCCTCACTCCTTATCCTGAAGCCAACATGATCTGCCAACTGGCAAAGAAATGTAATTAGATTAGAATGGGAACCGAGCTGCCCTGCAAGGGCCTCTGCTGCGGCAGGTAAGAGGCAGGTTGTCCCCACCATTCAATGGGGGGATGTGCAGCCTAGAGCATCCGTCAGAAGCCAGTGCCTTTGTCTGCCTCACCACAGCTCCCCTCATGAAGGGAACCCCCTTTGGAGTGCCAACCAAGCTAGCCACAGCAAGCCGGCTTGCTAGCCGTGTAGTCCTTGACCCGCCTGGTAAGGCCTCTGTAGGGACTGGGTCCTGGTGGTTGCCAGCATCTCTGTTATGATTTTTAAAATTTGTTAATGTGTAATTCATTGACCTGGGAGATGCAGGGCCTTAGGGTCAAAGACCCTCAGTCCCTTTCGCCAAGAGCCACAGGCCCACAGAACTGGAGAGGTCAACTCGAGCGGACAGCTCCCTAATATAGATACTTGCACGGCAGCTCGTGGAACACTTTTTACTTGCTCAGTCCTCCCAGCAATCTCGTTTACAAGTGGGGAAACTGAGGCAGGGGGCGGTTAAATGACTTGACCGAGGTCAGCTCCCTAGGGGAGAGGGGACGGCTTTCTAATGTTTGCACGACAGCTCGTGGAACACATTTTACTTACCCAGTCCTCCCAGCAATTCCTTTTACAAGTGGGGAGGCTGAGGCAGTGGGCGGTTAAATGACTTGGCCGAGGTCAGTCAGGTTGTAAGTGGTGGGGCTGGATCACCCGCTGGCTGCCTGGCTCCGGGACTTCCCCGCCCACTCCAAAGGCCTGGGCCCAAGGATCCTTCTTTTCCATTAGAACAGGAAGCTGCAGCGCTGACTTTTCAAAAAAAAAAAAAAAAAGATAAAATAGGGCAGAAAAAAGGTGTTTTATTTACTCATCTGTCCCAGAAAACCTTCGTGTCTCATCAGCCTGGTCCTCCCCTTTCAGCAGCATGGGGCACTGAAGACCCCCCAGAAACACTGTTGGTGGGGGCTGTCCCTGTGCTGCAGCCCCAGGCAAAGGCAAGAGATACGGGTGCTCCCAGATGGGCCCCAGGTGGACCCCGCTTCCCAGCTGTGCCTGAGGAGCTGTTTCGGGACCACCGGCATTTACACAAGGAAACATCTCTGCGTCTAAAGAGCTGACCCCTCCCTGTGGCTCTCAGGTCAGGTAGGTCGTCCGCAGAGTTCAGAAGACCCTGTGAGACTTACTGAAGGCAGCTGCACTCAGCCTCGGAATCTGCCGACACGAAGCCACAGCCCACTCCTGGTGGCTTCCTCAGTAGCTGCGGACCAGGAGGGCTACGCACACAGCCTCGTTAGTCCTTGATAAATGCTTATAAGATTCCATTGCCGCTTGCAGGACAGACCGTTTATCACTCACTAGGATGAAAGCGTTAGGATTCTAAGTATCCTCTGAATCTTGCAATTAATGCCTGGACATGAGCATCGGGTGCAGAATAGCCAGAAACATCTCTCAGATTTGCTGGGGTACTTATTGTGCCTAAATAAATAGCAATTAATACTCAAACATTTAATTAAGGCTTAAGAGCCAGTGGAGCTACTTCTGTCTCGTATGGCTGGGAAGCCTCTCCAAATGCATTTTTAATGATGATGCGGTCGTTGGTTACCACACCATTGTCTTCTAAGTCTAATCCATGTGCATGTTTGGGACCCAAAGGCAGCCAAGTTCATTTTCCTGTAAGTGGTTGTCTGGAATGCCAGTGGCTCCTGGGCAGATGTGGACCCTAGATTTGATAGCTTCCAACACATTCTTGCCTCAGACCACCTTCGTGGTGGGGCCAGATTGCTCTGGACAAAGTGAAGCTGGCCTTTATGCTCCAAGGAAGGGGACCTCGAGAGCAGGCCTGCATTGGCTCTCGGACTAATACACGGTCATCTTTCATGCAGCAGGTAAATTTCAGCAAACCTCGTTAATGTTGATCTCTTTCCCTTTGCCAAGGCCGCTTCATTCTGAACAGAGCCTGCAAAGTCATAAAAGCTGTTGAATCCAAAGCAAGTGAGAAATAAGTCATGCATTATTATTATTTTCAAAAACACATTGAAGACATAACTAATAAAAAATGAGAAGTGCACCTGTGCCTTCCCACTTTGTTCTTCCGAAATGTACATTAATAGAATATCAAACTTTTGTTATTCAAAGGCGCCTATTTTTCAAAGCAACATCCATACGTTTCTGGAAGCTGTGCTTGCTGAGCTGAGAACGGTACCACGAAAACTTTGGGAGAAAGTGACCACTTCAGATTGTCAAGAAATTCTGCTGTGCCCCAGGGATACCTGGCAGTAGCCTGTTTGCTTTTGTGTTTTTTTCCCACAAAAGCAGATATTGGTCATTACACCCAGTGACCCACTGTGAAGCATACAGCCCAGCGGGGCCAGGCCAGCCGAGGATCTCCTTCCAGGCAGCAGAGGGCAGAATTTATCCCAGATCCCGATCTGGAAGATGGCTTTGCAAGATACACACAGCTTCCCTTTTTGGCCAGGGAACCTCGGGTGGATGTTCACCTTCAGCCACGTTATTTTCCAGCCATGGGGTCCAGGCCCCACCTTATCTGTCTTTCCCAGCTGGCCCAGGATCCTCAGTCCTTCTCTGGGCTTAGTGCCAAGATGAGAGGCTCACGTGCTAGTGTGGCACAGAAAAACCCAAGAAGCTGAAGTTTGAGCAGCAGAGTTTTGGCAGAACATGGACAACGTGAGACCCTCCTCCTGGGCCAGAGGCTGTGACCACACCTTGGTCTTGCAGGAAACCTCTCCACCCTCTGCAAAGCCAGCATGGCTCTGGAAATGGTCATTCAAGGTGCAGGATTGGCACCATCTCTCTCTCTCTCTGTCTCTCCCCCTCTCTACCTCTCTTTCTCTTTTCCGTCCTGAGACACAGAGCAGAGAGAGATGCCTGTAGTCTTGGAAGAGGCTCCCTTCCCTGCGTAGCCAGGGATGTCTGGCGCTCGGGGCACAGGCTGCCACCCACTCACTGATCTTCCACGTCGTGTCTGTGGCTCCTGGCATCAGCATCTACCTGTAGTCAGTCCCCGGAGGTGGTTTCCTGCCATTAAGGATGGGTCTCAGGGACTGAGGACAAAACTGCTTCACACCCCTGCCGCGTCTCTGAGCCTCATCCAGTGTTGATTCCCTGCTCCAGGCCAGGCACAGAGCTGGAACCTGCATGAACCAGTGGTGAACAGGCAGGAGACCCCTGTTCTCAGGGTGCTGTCGTGCCAGCAGGGGATGCCTTGCACATCTGTCCAAATAAGCTGGATGCAGATGGTCCCATGCCCGAGATGTCACCAAGCAAGTGCTCCAGGAGACAGAAGGAAAATAGGGGATGTGGGTAGGAAGGAATGGAGGCATCCAAGAAGGCCTTCCCAGGGAGGTGATCTTTCCAGCCAAACCCTGAAGGATTGGAGGCTTGAGATTTGCAACGTGAAATCAAGGAACCTGGAACGTTGAGAGGAAGAAGAAGAGGAAGCGCGAGGTGGAAAGGTGGCCAGGACCCAGGGCAGAAGGATCTGATTAGCCAGCATGGGAAGTACAGGAGGCTTTTTTTTTTTTCTTTTTTTTGAGACAGAGTTTCACTCTGTCGCGCAGGCTGGAGTGCAGCCACTCGATCTCGGCTCACTGCAACCTCCACGTCCGCATTCACCCGGGAGACTTCCACGTGGGAAAGTGGGAGGATGAAGTCTACCTGGGAGCACCTCCAGAGCCTGGCCAGACAGACGTAAGGATTGGAAGCTGCTCCTCCGGGCTTTATTCTCCTGTTTAACGTCAGGATCAAGGACTGGAAAGCAACCAGGGCCAAGGTTCATTTAGGAAATCATTCTTATTAAGGTGGCAGCCATATGACTTATGGTCCAACCCTGAACACATTCCAGAGAGAAAGGTTGGCCTTGTGAATCATCAATGATCAGGGAACACAGGGACAGCAGCTCACAACCCGTGACTGTCCTGGGACACCAGGACCCAATGTAGGGTCTCCAAGCCCCAGGATTTTTATCTCCCTTTTAAGAAAACTTGTAATTGTAGTAAATATATGTAACATAAAATTTATCATTTTTATGTTAGCCAGGCGTGGTGGCTAACACCTGTAATCCCAGCACTTTGGAAGGCTGAGGCAGGTGGACCACCTGAAGTCAGAAGTTTGAGACCAGTCTGACCAATATGGTGAAACCCCGTCTCTACTAAAAATATAAAAATTAGCCAGGCATGTGGTGAGTGCCTATAATCCCAGCTATTCAGGAGGCTGAGGCAGGAGAATCGCTTGAACCCGGGAGGCGGAGGTTGCAGTGAGCTGAAATCGTGCCACTGCACTCCAGCCTGGGTGACAGAGCAAGAATCTGTCTCAAAAAAAAATATATATATATATATATATATCATTTTAACCCTTTATGCATGTCTAGTTCAATGGCATGAGTGCCTTTACCATGCTGTGCAGGCATCTTCACAAGCCAGCCCTTCATCTCTCTCCATCACCCTGTATTAAAACTCTGTACCCACTCAATACTCACTCCCCGTCTCCCCCCACCCCCTGGCCCCCTATTCTACTCTTTGTCTCTGTGGATTTGGTGGCTCTGGTACTTTCTATAAGTAGAATCATACAGCATTTGTCTCCACATTTTTTAACTTTCAAAAAAATTACCAAGATATAAGAGGGATATTTCTCTCTGTATTGTAATAATTACTTCATTTTTCAAGCCCCTCTTCCCCAGATCCAGGGAATGTGGAAGAGGTGGGCGGGGGTGGGGCACAGCTAGAGTAAGGCTACCAAGAGTGATCCGGCACTGACCCAAAGGCACGTCCCCCGCCCCCCCGTGTGTGTGTGTGTGTGTGTGTGTGTGTGTGTGTGTGACACAGCCTCACTCTGTTGCCCAGGCTGGAGTGTAGTGGCGCCATCTCAGCTCAGTGCAACCTCTGCCTCCCAGGTTCAAGTGATTCTCATGCCTCAGCCTTCCAGGTAGCTGGGATAACAGGTGCGCGCCCCCATGCCTGTCTAATTTTTGTATTTTCACTAGAGATGGAGCTTCACCATGTTGGCCAGGACGTCTCCTTTCTTTACATGCAGTGACCCCTGTGCCCACAGCAGCTGGTCCTCCCACAGTAGCTGAGCAGACACTCTACTGTAGCCTCATGGAGTTGTCCACACGGTGTCATTTGGAGGCAGCAAGCAGGAAGGTGACGCCCAGGGCCCAGCCTCTTGTCCAGACGCAGAGGGCTCCAGGGAAAGACCCAGCCTCTCACCTTCACCTTCAAATGAGTAGACTCTGGCACACTGAGGTTCCTGGAGATGACAGGGACACCGTGCTGATGATCAGGGACACAGTGCTGAGCAGGTGGCGCTGTCCTGGGGCCTGCCAACCTCCCTGTCCACTCCTAGGATGTGTCCTGCAGAGGGCAGGCCTGTCCCACCTGGAGCTCTTCCTCCCCAGTCCCAACCAGAATCACTGCGGTGGGCTCAGTTGATTCAGGGGAGAGAAAGCCACACTCTTGTCTTTGGGAAGGACCAGGGAATGGACCCAGGACTGGCAGTCACTGAACTCACCTGGGGAACTCTGAAAACCCATGTTCACAGGCACCACCCTGAGAACCTGATTCCAGGTCTGCAGAGGTGGGCCTGAGAATCTGTATTTCTGCAGAGCTCCCACGATGGTGATGATGGAGCCGGTCTGGCCGCATGCTGTGCCTGCAGCTGCTGGAAAACTTCTAGAGCTCCCACTGAGTGCTTTTCCGACTTCAGTTTGGGATCAGCGGGTACACCCGCCCCATCCTACCACTTTCTGATACGTGTCATCTGCACAGATGAGGATGCGGTAGCCTTTTCTTTCTATTATTGAGGGTCCTAATTGCCTGTAGTTGAGAGGAGCTCTGAGTGACCGCAGAGGGACCCAGACAGCACCCCATCCCTGTGACGGAGACGCAGCTTTGGGCAGAAGGTCCCCTGGGGGGGACCGTGATGTGTTCCAGCTCACGTGGCCGTGCCCGGGGTGACTCTCTGAGGGATGCTGACCTACTGGGGGTTCTCACTCAGCCCGGGAGACTGCATTTTCCGTTTTCTGAGGCTCGGGCTGGCTGGGTGGCAGCCGCCCTTCTCAGCCTGCCTGCTGAAGGTGGCAATCGCAGTCAGATCACCCGACCTGCGCCCGGGTGGGACTCGCCTTCTCTCTCTCCAGCAAGATCACCTCTGGGGAAATACGGGAGGAGGATTTCCTGGTGCAGTCCATTTCTCTCTCCTGAGTCCTGGCCTCGGGGAGGCTGCAGCTGAGCAGTGGACGGACACAGACTCCCTTTTCTCCTGCAGCAAAGGAGTGGAACAGGCCCCCCAGGAGGAGGCTGGACGGGGAGTGAGCGGGGCTGCCACACTCAGGCCCTCTGACGTGCACGCCTGGGACCAGATGCCCCGGCACCCCCCACAGGAGGAGGCTGGGCAGGGAGTGAGCAGGGCTGCCACACTCAGGCCCTCTGACGTGCACGCCTGGGACCACAGGAGGAGGCTGGACAGGGAGTGAGCGGGGCTGCCACACTCAGGCCCTCTGACGTGCACGCCTGGGACCAGATGCCCCGGCGCCCCCACCGTGCGTTAGTGGACAGGGTGGTCCCAGCCCCTGGTAGCAAGCTCAGAGCTCTGTAGATGACCAGAATTCACACAAGATTCAGGCCCCCACTTCACACCCCTGGGATTCCCAGTGTTTCTTCCAGTTCCTGCTGACCAGTTCTCGTGAGGTCTTGTCCACGTTCCAAGGACCCCTCCATGTCAGTGAACCGATAAAGGCAGCGACCGGGCTCTGCACGCAGGAGTCCTGTGTCGGGGGGTCCTGGTCGCCCGAGAGCCCCACGGACTTGTCGCGCCCTCGGCCTGCTGCCATTTAATCTCTTCTTGTTTTCTTTCCACACAGGATTCCGTTGGTGAACCTGTAAAAACAAAACAAACAAAACAAAACAAAAAAGACAAAACCTAAAACTAAGCTATCTAAGGGGGAGGGTCCCCGCACCTACCACTTCTGTTTGCCGGTGGGAAACTCACAGAGCAGGACGCTCTAGGCCAAAATCTATTTTTGTAAAAATGCTCACGCCTATGGGTGACTCTGCCTTCTCCCCGAGTTTTCTTTGGAGAACAGAAAGAAGAAACGAAAGAAAGAAACCGGAGGCAGAGAGACGAGGATACCCAACGAAAGGGACGGGAGGAAGCATCCGAAACCTAGGATTCGTCCTACGATTCTGAACCTGTGCCAATAATACCATTATGTGCCATGTACTGACCCGAAAGGCTCGGCCGCAGAGCCGGGGCCCAGCGAATCACGCGGAGAAATCTTACAGAAAACAGGGGTGGGAATCTCTTCCGATAGAGTCGCTATTTCTGGTTAATATACATATATAAATATATAAATACAAACACACACACGCACACACTTTTTTTGTACTGTAGCAATTTTTGAAGATCTTAACTGTTCCTTTTTAAAAAAAGAATTGTGTTATAGGTTACAAAATCTGATTTATTTAACATGCTTAGTATGAACAGAATAAACCAGTGTTTTCTACTTTGGCAACTCACGTCACACACATATTACACACATGTGCGCATACACACACAATACACATACATGCATATAGACGCATCTATTGGAAATGCAGTTCCACAGGTGAGCATGTTCTTTCTGGTGACCTGGTATTCCATCACCGTTTACCCCAGGGGACAGCCTCGACCCAGACAAGGAGGCCCTTAAATGACAGCCTGCATTTGCTAGATGTTTGGTGAGTGGCATCAAATGTGTGACTTACTATCTTGGGCCAGAACTAAGAAAGCCGTGGTTTTATATATGTGTGTGTAGATATATACACACACATATGTGTGTGTATATATATGTTTTTGTATATATATATACACACACACATGCATACATATGTGTTTTTTTTCATTTAAATGTTGGAAGATGCTGCCTAACAGCCACACTCACATTTATGTAGCTGGTTGCTTACAAACGGGCCTGAGCCCTGGGTTGGGTGGGTGGTGGATTCTTGGACGTGTGTGTCATACAAGCATAGACTGGATTAAGAAGTTTTCCAGTTCCAAATATTAAAGGAATATATCCTTACGATGTGTGTGTGTAATGTCAGGACAGAACTTAGACATACGTGAAGGGCCCCAGTTGGTTTGAAAACGAAAAATCGTCATTCTGTGTGCGAACCACGCAGGCTGCCCCACAGCCCAGCCTGTGCTGCGTTGCCTTCCCTTGCGCAGGTGGGCAGGTGTTGCCCGCTTTTTCTAGGGCCCCAACGGTGTCTTGGAATCTTGGGGGAAGCCTCGGCAGAGATGCCATTCTCCTGTCAGCTTCCACTGGCCGATGGATGTTTCTGTTTTGTCATCGAGAATCCTACTGTAGAACTACCCAGTGGAAACGGGCCCCAGACCCGAGCCTCAGTACAGAGAATCCCAACCACACACACTTTATGAAAAATACTGCCATGCCGCTGGGCCTTCCTCACAAGCCTCACCTGAGACGGGCTCACTGGTGGCCCAGACTTGCTGTCAACAGGGAGTGCTGTCGGGATCTAGGGATGCATCTCGTGGCCCACGCTGTGCCTGCTTGGAGGATGTTTCCTGTCTATGGGAGATGCCTAATGTGGTGTGGGTCCCTGTCTCCAAAGACTCTATTTCTCACACATGGCCCAGGTGGAACTTTAATTTCAGCAGTAGAGTGCATGAGGCAATTCAGTGAAGTATCGCAGGCCAGGCGAAAAGGTTAAAGATGAGGCAGACAGCTAACCTTACTGCCCTCACTGGCCAGGCTGATGACCTGATTCTTCCCTCGGGTTCAGTCTCCCTCTGAAACACCTTGAGATATGCTTCAGAAGTTCACTTTTGTATCTCCTGAAACACGTGAACCTAGAGTCATGCCTCTGGAGGGGAAAGGGCTGTTTCTGTGACACAGCAGTGTTGAGATCTGTATCCATGGTATTGCTCACAAATTAGGAAAAGTTGTTCTTTAGTTTTTGTTCTGTCGTTTTCCACCCCCAAGCTTTGGCACATCCAGAGACAATGCAAACATCCGCCACTGGCATTTGGCCATCTCCAGGTTCCTGGCACTCACCTGCACGGCGCTCCAGCCTGCAGCTCTCTCCGCGCGCCATCCGGCCTCGTCCATCCCATTCTCCTTCAATCACTCCCTTCCGCTGAGGTGGGCCTCCTGACTCCAGGTGAGCACAGCGTGGTGCGAGTGCGTGGTGAGGGCTGGCAGCGTCCAGCAGGCAGTGGGGTTGCTGCTTTGGTCTCTGATGTTCTGAGCTCCAGAGTGAGCCCAACCGAGGAGGAGGTGACAGCAGGGGGGCCCCGTTGGTTCACTGACCATGAGAACCCAGGATTCCCGAGGGACTCCTGGTATCTGTTCTGTCATCTCCCAGCTGCTCAGCCCCCTTCTCCGACCATGGGTGGCACCCTGGATGCCCTGAACTCTTTCCTGGGTCCATGAGACATAGAGCCTTGGAAGGAGGCGTAAAGCAACAGCCCTCTTGTCCCCCGTCAGAGCCACAGGTTCAAGGTAGGGCTGTGAGACCCACACAGGCGCAACCACCAGACAAGCCAGTGTGTGCCCATTCCACACCTGAAAGTCTGCTTCTGTGCCGACATGACATCCGTCAAGGTAAATCCACACAGGTGAAGGCCGCTATTTCTGGATGATTGAGGCAGTGTATGGAAAGACGTATCATTTTACTTTTTTAAATGGTTACCTGCTCTCCCAGACCCCTCAACGGGGATCATCGTCTAGGTAAGAGGAGGTAGTGAGTGAAAGTGCCTGGGCCTTGGAGACGCAGCCCCACCCACAGTGAAGTCTGCACCAGGGCACGGAATTGTCCTGCTTCGGGCCTTGGGTATATGTAATGCCCATGCACTTTGTGTGTCGGTGGCTGCTGCATTGGCCTGATCAGTCCTTCTGCACCTTGGGGTAGTGTCTCAAGCTAGTTGTTGTCCTCTTTCCCCTGCTTGGCCCCTGGAATTCAGAGTCTAACAGTAGACACCTCCCTTCCCCCACCCGAGGCCTGGTCCTTACCTTTGCTTGAGCTTTCATTCCTCAAGAAAAGAACTCCAAGGAAGTGTGACGTGGTTTGTTAGGGTTCCCCAGTTTTTGTCCACTTCCATCTTATTCCTCGGAGATCCCACAATCGCAAACCCCCTGGCAGCCTCCTGGCACCTGCATTTGCCCTTAAAGCTTTACAAACAGCTGGGAATGCACTCTTTGTTGTACAGTCCAGTCCGTTTCCAGACGAAGTCGCTGCCAATCTTCCCGTGCTTGGTGTCGCTTTTTTCTGATTGGAATATGCGCGTCATTGCTCTTGTTTCCGGGTTTGGTGTGAGAAAGGCGGGGTTCTCCAGGCATGGTCGGGGAGCTTCCTCACCGTTTTCCATTGGGCTCAGATTCCAACCATGACCGAGACAAAGCCAAGCCTTCTCACGCAACGTGGAAGCGTAGTGACACCCTGGGGTGTGTGGAGGTGGCTGCTGTTGTTCCTATGTACTGCCCTCCTTGCACACAGAAGGGAGAGGCCACTTAGGGGAACTTGTCTTCTCCAAAGTACTTCTAGTCCTTCCCAATCTTGAATTTGAGTGGACTTCTCTTATTACACTCAGCTCCCAGAAATTCACTCCAGTCCTTCCTGGAACATTGTGAAATTAGAAACCTGGACTCATCAGCAAACCCCACCCAGTCTTTGAATCGGGACACCAGGAAACCCATTTCTACGGATGTGATCTTACCATCTTAAATCAATCCTTTCTTTCGAAAATACATGACTCTTTCACAGCCATATTTTAGCTTCAGGAAAAGCCATGCTTACAGGGGTTGGTCGTCAACATTTTGTGTGCGATGCCTAAGGTGTAGACTGTGTTAAAAGGTGAACACACCAAAGGATCGACCCTGTCACCTTGGATGGTCTCTGTTTTGACCCTGTTGCCCATGGAGAGGTATTTTACCCTTTTGCTTCTTTGCCCAGGTGGTCTAGGATTGTCTGTAGCTCAGGAAGCTGGACTGACCCTGTATCTTGAAAGACAAGACCAGGAACCAGGAGTGAGGCTGGGACTCTCACTCAGTGGGACTCTCACTCAGCCTTTTCATGGTCAGGCTTGGTCTTCCCATACTTTTTTCAAGATGGCACCAGGACACGCCTTCTTTTGACCACCTGTTGACACCATCACCCTCTTTCATCAAGGTGATCTCTTTCATCAGGGCGTACGTGAGATGTGATGCTCCACTCGACTGTCTTCTCCCCTACCCCTGCCCCCTTCCACAAAGCCATTTCCCAAGTCACAGTGGGAAAAGATACCAAGATGCCTGATTTCTTGGACCATTCTTGTTTCAGCACGTGAGTTCTTTAAGACACTACTCACATATGCCACTGGAGAGAAACAACCCATTCTGGATCACCGTAATGAGCTGATCAGTCATTCATCCTCTTCTTCAACAAATACTTGTTCCACTTCTACCACACTGGCCATACAGTCGGAGGCAAGATGAGCACAGTTATGCCCTTGTGGGTCTTATATTCTATAGTAGAAGGAGGTAGATGGTTAATGTGAAAGAAAACCAAAATAATTTCCAGAGAGTGAAGCGGCAGGAAGAGAACAGAGCAGAGTGATGGGGCCAGGGTGCAGAGAAGGAGAGAGGGGAAGGGGGAGAGAGTGGCAGGGATTGAGGGGGAAGAAAGAGAGGAAGGGGTTGTCTGCATCTCCTCCTGCCACCCATCGCCTACTGGGAAATTATCACTTGCTGCTTGAGGGTTGGTCTGGTGTTGGATGGAGCAAGAAGGCCTTGGTCTTAGCTCTTGGATAAAAACTCAGTGCAGAGCTGAAGATAAGACATCGCAGTTGTTACGATGCCTGGTTCTTCACCAAATTCCTCAGCCATTCCAGCAAGAGTGGAAGCAGAGGGGCAGGGGCAGGATGAGGGCTGCTGTCCTGGAGATGAGCTTGCCTCATCCCTGGGCACTGGCTCTGCCCCATCCCCTCCCCATGTTGGTCCCACCTGTCAGGTTGCCAGGCCAACCAGGTCTCAGGTCAACCAGATCTCAAGGAGGAAAAGGGGGTTCAACGTCAGTGACTTGGCCCAGAGGGCACGGGCACCATGGGGGCGCCATTCCTCTTGGTGCCAAAAGACAGCTGCCTCTCCAGAAGCTCCCCCAGCACTGAGCGTACTTAGTGGCATCCTTCTTAAACAGCATCTGCTTTTAAGTAAGCAGCTATTCCAAAACATGCCGTGATTCATGTAATTTTTGAGTGGTTACTTTGGTGCAGTTTGTCAATTTGCTCTGCCATACTGTTTTTTGATTGTTTGTTTGTTTTCCAGTGTAAATAGCACAGCCCACATAAATGAGCCAAACTCATCATCTGAGGATCTTTGATTATTCTTCCCCACTTATTGTACATTGATGTGCCGCCTGCTAGGAAGATAAACTCCCTCTTTGCTCACTGGGAGCCCAGATCTCTCTGTTAG